ATCGTGAATGGTGCATGGATAGGTAAACTACATGTGTTAAATAATTCTTCCACCCTCCATTTATTGACCTTTCAAAAATTGCTAATACATGTAACTTTTTTTTTTTTAAATAACCCCCCCCCATATCAATGCCATATGTAGATCATACTTGACATTGGTAATTCACTTCTGCAGCACTTTTCATGGGAGACCTGTATGACATGTTTTTTCACAGATTGTATGTGTCCACGCATAAGATTGCAATTAAATCCCCAGAGATATATGTATATAGCACAATCTAAAACACTAAAGTTTTGATTTTGGAGGGGAAACTGCGGCTAAAAAGACAAAATTCTAAATCAGCAGAGAATGTGACTCAAAAGACCGTCAAAACCTTCGAACTTCTATAGACACTTCGTCAAAATGTGGTCACTAGGTGAACTTTAAAAACCCATTTTCCAAATCGGGTACCAAATTTTACCTATAAAGTCTAGTAAGTGGGTCTCCCGGGGTCATTTGTAAACATAAATTTGTCAACAGTAGCGAACCTAGCTTTACGTGAAGAAATTAAGTTTGGCCTGAATATGGTTATGAAATTTGAACACAGACACGTGCATCTCTGTTTACTTATTCAGTCAGATCTAGTCTAAAATAATTGCTAAACTCTACTCGGAAAATGTCGTCTGCTGCGACTTTCAGCTGATATTCGATGTTGTTCAACGTCGTACTAAATATAAACAAATAATTCACATACTACAGAAAATATGAAGACCAATCGATTATTAAAGGTATACCTAGTGGGTAATCATGTACACTTACCTACCATGAAGCCAGTGGAAGGTTAATTAGGCAGTAAATATTGTCGCAGCGAACATTGTTGTACTGGTTGTTGTCGTCAACTAAAAGTTTCACCGGAAGCGGAAGTCGACTATCTGGTACCAGTCCGATGAGGGCGTTTCGAAAATCGATAACGCTGTTCATACAAGGGGCATTGATGTACATTGAGTTCTTCGCAGTTCAGAAGTGTTTGGATTTAAAAATCACTTGACTTGACGTTTGACGCATATTTTTTTAAATACAGGCGTAGTTCCACTGCAGCACTACTTGCACAAAATCATGTAGACTATGACAATGACAACTTCAAGTTGAAAAAAACGTTCTGACAACTCCTCGTATTTACACAAATCGAGCTGCGGTCATCAAGTTACGAACTAATGGATTTGTTGTTTTGTTTAACGTATGTTTTCCGTAATTCGTGGTTTAGTTTGAAATGTTAACGTTAAACAAAATAACAAATTTATGTCGCCCGTAACTCGAAGTTCTGTTAATTATTGATCGATTTACGATTTGGGCGTGGTTCAGGTGCACCCAATGGAGCTGTTCATCAGAAAAGCTGTTCCTAGGGAATTTTGTTGAGGGCAGGGGATTTTTTTCTATTTTTTGTGGGGGCGGGAAATATTACCCAGTGGGCAGAGCAGATTTCTTAAAAAAATGCAAGGACAGGGAAACTTTTTTTAGTGGGTAGTGTATTTACATAAAAAAATATCACAGGGTGGGCAAAACAGCCTTTAGGGCAGGGTATAATAAAAAACGTATTGGGGAAATAAAATCTGCTAAATTTGGGCAGCCGTGTGCTATTAATAACTGAAAATGCGAGTCACCCACTGATCTGTTGAGTGGTTAATGTATTCAAGAAGCCCATAGAAACAATGACTCGATGAATTACGCCACCAATCGGCACAGCAGTGTAGGCAAAAAAGTATTTTTTTTAATGAGGGGAGGGGAAAGATAAATTTGGTCAGCAGGAGGGCAAGAAAGGCAAGTTGGCGGTAGGGGAGTAGGGAAAAAAGTGTTTTTTTAATGAGGGCAGGGGAAAGATAAATTTGGTCAGCAGGAGGGCAAGAAAGGCAAGTTGGCGGTAGGGGAGTAGGGAAAAAAGTGTTTTTTTAATGAGGGGAGGGGAAAGATGAATTTGATCAGCAGGAGGGGAAGACAATTTTTTTCAGGTAGAGGGTAGCTTATGAACAGCTTTTAATTTCCCCTCTTTCCTTTATTTTAATTAGCATACTTCAAAAGGCCCATAAAATAAATTTTGTCCCAGAGAATTGAATATTCCAATTTATTGCTCGTTGGCTACACCTGGTGGTTTTTTAAAATATGGGCGTGGTCATTTTTGTAACTCGATGTTCGTAACAAGAACAATTCAATCTCACCTTGACTAAGTGCGCAGTATT